TTAGCATGGAAGGAGTTAATTCAGTGTTGGTACTACAAAATACTGATGTTAGAAATTTGTAATAATGTTAGTCCATGTAGTGTAAATATATATGTACCTATTGTAGTTATTTTAACATTAGAAGTGCCATATCTAATTCATACAGTGCCCAATAAAAAGCACTGAAAAATTTGAGAGTAAATAATATAAATAAAAAACGTAGAACTTCAGATGAATGGAAAGGATTCTGTTTCTTGATTATGTAGTTCAGATAAAATGCCAACAGACTGCGCATGCTGTCATGTACAGCAATCAATGAAGAGGTTGGGGTTTTCGATACTTGGCACTTGTAGGGTTAAGGAGAGAGTGGCGGAGAACCAGATTCTGTCCGAGTTCAGATAATGCATTACATGAATGTGCTTAGCTGTAGCCAAGAGAGTTCTTACGTATATGTAAAACGCAAGTAACATTTTTCAAAATGTAACTGGGTAACCTCATCTCTGATAACCCGAACATGTGGCATGGTATAGTGTGTGTGTTTTTGTGTGTGCGTGTGCAGGTTTATATGTGATACTCGAAAATCGTAAACAGCTGAAAGTGTATGACATGTAAGAATGTTAAGTTTTAATTCAGTTACTGTTTGATATGCATTATATTTATTGCATTATAGTATATATATATTGTCACGTGTATGAGTGGCTTATAATAGCGGAATTTGGACTGGTAATTGGATTTATTATTCACTCCTATACACTCATTCGTAATCACAATAAATTACAGCGATATCGCCAATCTATCCATTTCGCAAATCATTAGAACACATTAAGTATTCTCAGACTTCACTAGTCCTATCCTGGCAACGGAGCTATAACAGTCTCATTGTAACTTCAGCACATATAGAATCTTCCTTTCCCATTTTCTAATTTTTTTTTTAATTCTCTTAAAGGGAGTGGAGTCCAACTGGGTCCACTCTGCACGGCGACCACTGATTAGCCTATTGTACCTGCCCCGGGTTATTATGATGATGGAGAATTTGATGGAATGAAGATTGGCAGGGGAAACCAAAGTACTCGGAGAAAACCCGCCCCAGCGCCACTTTGTCCACCACAAATCCAACTTGACCAGAGCGGGATCGAACCCGGGCCGCCGCGGTGGGAAGCCAGAGACTAACCGCTTGAGCTATGGCGTGGCCTTTCCTTCTCTTAACAAGAGGAATTTTAAGTGGCAACTGAACTATTTTGAAATATTTTCAAAACGAAAAAAAAAAACAAAGTAAAACTACTAAGATATATGAAAGTGTAGCTCAAAACGTTTTATTATCTACAGAATCAATACTGCAGAATGCTAAACAACTTTAGCATGCCACGTAAGCTGTCCAAGCCGTATTCACTTTCCCCCCAATAATTTATAATGACACTGTATGTATCTGGCATCTATTAAAATGAAAATTGCTGTTTTTTACGATGCGATGATGCCTAGTCTGCTAGATAGTTACAAACATTTCGGAAAAATCTGTTGCCGCAATCTTCATGGCAGTAAATAGTCACTTTTAACCTGAAGAAGGAGGCAGCTAGTTCCTGCGGATCTTCGATAATTATCTGCCCGATTACATTGTGTCACATCCGTGAAGTGAGTAATCTTGGATGTGGAAACAGACTGTCTAAAGAAATAAAACATTTTTATTCTACTAAGGAAATTTTCACTCTCACTAGTACACACAGAATTTCACAAATTTCAGAAAATTTTGAGTGAAATATCAGCTGTCATGCGTTTTTGTCCAGCATATGCAGGCTATTTTTTCATGCTTGGCCCCTAGGTAGCGCGCAATACATCAATCGATACGGTGACCAGGCTACGACCTGTACAACTGAAGAATCGATACACGATTCTAGGCAGGAGCAAAGAGATTAGAGATTTTCTCCCGTCCACACACTCAAGACCAGGCCCGGGGCCTACCCAGCCCCCTATACATCAGGCTTCGGGATTTCTGCCCCGGATGTAAGGAGACAGCGACTTGAAGCTGATTACTCACCTCCATCTAATTCCAAGATTAAGAATGGTGGAGCTATACCTCCATTTCCTCTTACGTCTCAATAGCGTGGTACTTAATTAAATACATTGATTACTTTACCTTACCTGGCTTGAGGGCGAGGAACACATGGCAAGAAGTAGTGGGCCTCTGGTTGCAGCTGCATTATCGGAGGTAGGGAGTGGGTCACAGTGTATTATTTATTATTTTCTTATTATTATTAGTGAGTGAGACTAAGTCCCTTGTACTGCGGCCACTTCTGGCCTATTGTACCAGCCCCAGATGATAGGTGAGGGTGACTGTGGAGCAATTGGTGGAATGAAGATTGGCAGGGGAACCGAAGTACTCGGAGAAAAGCTTTGTCCACCACAAATCCCACATGCCCAAACCCGGGCCGCCAGCGATTAACCGCCTGTGTCACAGAGTAAGTAATGTCCTGTTATAAAGTGCGTAGTGTCCATAATTACCTTTGTTTTCTACTCCCTCTCTCTTTTTCTCTCTCTGATGCGTTCTCAGTGTGAAAAACTTCGCTGGTAAGTTTCCATACAACTGTATAAAATTGACGACATTTTTACAACATCCCATTGCGTACTCAACACAGGCATTGTCCATTTCTTCTGCACTGGACGGTGCTGAACATTTCCTGCCTTGTGGACTGACCATGGTAGATCTTCCGAAAGCAGGTCAGAGGAATCTCTGTCTTCCTTATCTCCTTACAAATTTATTTTCAGTATATGAAAAGCCGATCAAAATGGCCGCGCAACCTAAGGCATGAACCGTCTTCACTTGCTCGAACGATGGAATTATGGGTTCGAATCCCACTCAGAGCATGAGTGTCTGTGTGCATTTATTCTGTTTCTGTTGTTCTGCGTGCAGGTAGCGACCTTGCGACGGGCTGATCCCCCGGCCAAGGAATTCTATCGACTGTGTGTAAGATCAAGAAACTGAAAAAGCAACCACGGCCCAACAAGGGCTCTACAGCCATACTAATAATAATAATAATAATAATAATAATAATAATAATAATAATAACTTATATGAGAACAAAAAATTAGTGGGTACGAGTCAGCGACACGGGGAGGCCAAATGACACACGCAACTCTTATTTATAAGTCAGGGAAATGGTTGAGTCAGGCAGTCAACAACATAGATAGCTGAGTTGCCATAATTGTAAGGAAATCCTGCAGAGTCATCGGCAACAAACCGGTTACCTCAAGTCTGAGACATGTTTAGTGAGTGGAATTAATGTGAGATCCTATCGACCACTAAGTCTAACAGGCTTGAATTATTAGTCGAGATCCAAAACTTCTTGACGATGGTATATTTCTACATATATTGACTTGCTGGATATTATTCATAGTAGAACTCAGTGGGCGTAGGTGGGTGGACAATATTAGAATGGATCTTAGAGAGATAGGATGGGATGGTATGGATTGGATAGATCTGGCTCAGGATAGGGACCAGTGGAGGGCTCTTGTGAACACGGTGATGAACCTTCGGGTTCAATAAAATGCTGGGAAATTCTTGAATAGCTGCAGAATTGGTGGCTCCTCCAGAAGGGCTCAGCTCCATGAGTAAGTAAGTGAGTAAGAACTCAGTGGTCCCGCGGTCTAAGGCAATGAACCGTCTCCGCCCGCTCGAACACTGGGATCGTGTGTTCGAATCCCACTCGAAGCATGAATGTCTGTGTGTGCTTTATTCTGTGTTTGTGCTGTCCTGTGTAGGTAGCGGCCTTGAGCGGACTGATCACTTGTCCAAGCAGACCTGTCATCTGTGTACAGGATTGAGAAATTGAATAAGCAGCCATTTTACAAAGGGATGTAGAGCCTTAAGGAGAAATATTGTGTTTTTATTTAAAAAAATGTTTCGGATACTAGACTCCGCCTCCATCCTCAGATATATTGCGTATTCTGTTGGGCCCAATCGATAGGGCTTGTTCCTATCTCCGGAATGGCTATATCTATTAGGCTGTCAACACACAACGAAATAAATTAAGTTTTAATAATGTTATTACCATACTGATGAAACCATTAATTACTCACAGGCCACGGGCAGGTCAACTACAATGGCTGGATTTGCCGCTCTAGACGGACACATGAAACCTCGTAAGAAGAGCCGTGATCTGCAGCCACAGGAATCTCACATGTAAGTTTACTTTTGCTTAGCCTTGTATGCATACATTGCATGCTACATGGAACTGGCGGTTCCTCCATATTGTTGGTAGATATAACCATCTTACAAATTACAAAGTTCCAGACACTTCTACCCCTAACCTGGATGTAGCAGTTTCGTCCAAATCACTATCAAAATCGCGACTTTACATTGTTTTACGGTGAAGATGGATGCAGCAGATGCCTCCGAAACGTCGGAATCCATCTATAAAATTTTACGGCACCACAATCGTATACCCTGAAGATGGAGGCAACAGGTTTTCCTGAAACTAAACACAAGGCGCTGCCCTCATCTACCCTGAAGATGGATAGAGCAGATTCTTCCGAAACGTGGATATTTATACTCCAAACTAGAGAGCGTCACGCTCTTCTAACATAAAGATACAGGAAACAAGTTTTTGAGAAACATTGCTGCATATCTACCGAACTACAGTGTCAAAACTCTTCAACCTGAAGGTGGAAGCTATATGTTCCTTCAAAATTTCAGTATTTATTCACCACATTCTTCCAATCTGAAGTTAAGATAGAAGTTTCCTCCGAAACGTCGGAAGACCTACCTTTGTATCAAGTTACAACGCGTCACCTCCCAGAAGACCATAATTTTGACACAGACAGACGCTAGAACTTCAACCCCCCCTTCCCCCTCAAAGGTAGAAATTTCCTCCGAAACGCAGGAAGGCCTACCTTTTTATCAAGTTACAACGCGTCACCTCCCAGAAGACAATAATTTTGACACAAACAGACGCGAGAACTTCAATCCTCCCCTTCCCCCTCGAATAATGCCTTCATATAGCAAGTTTCACACCGGTACAATGGAACAGGTACCTTACGCAAGCCCGCTGAGTTGCCACAGTGTCCCGCAGAGTCGAGGCGTCAACATGTTTCTCTGCTGTTCCCTCGCCGCCATTGCGATTGGCATCGCTTTGCTGTACGCGCTCTTCGACGTGAACTACTTCATCAGAGTCGCCTTCACCATCGCGATTGGCAGACTCTTCCAGAAGAAGATCAAAGTTCTCGAGTCGAGCAGGATATATGGTAAGCAGGGGGTCATGAGAGGGCGCTGCGTTGTTTGATGTTGCAGTACAGTTTCGATGGGTCGAAATGAAAGGGACCGAGGTTGCCTCGATCTATCGAAAAACTCAATCAGTACGGACAATCCATCCCCCTTCTCCCCCGTTACATTTTACAGTGTGTACGATCTTATTATTAAACAGTGTTAAACAATGCTGTACCTAACATGTTTACTTACATTACAGATATTTAAAATATTCTTGATAATTTAACCTGAAATTAATTTCAAGTAAATAAACAGGACGGGTGAAACACTCTAAACAACAGAGAAAGTGACCTTGAGTTTCCTCTGACCAAACATAACTTCTGGTCGGAATAGCTCAGTCGGTATAGTGACGGTATACGCGATTGATGGTCGCAGTTCGACTCCAAGCAGAGGCAAGTGTTTTTTAAGTACTCCATAGCTTCTGGGGCATGCGGTAGCGTATTTGGTTGAGGAACTATGCTACAGGGTTCCATTCCCGTTGAGGTCATTGGATTTTTCAATTGACCTAATCCTTCCAGCCGCACTATGGCCCTGGGTTCGAGTCAGCCTCTAACAGAAATGAGTACCAGGAATCTTCCTTGGGGGGGGGGGTTAAGGGCGGCCAGCGCATAAGTCTGACAACCGTACCGCCATCTGTGAGCCGATTGTATAGAAGATGTGGGAGCTTCGACCTCTCAGAGACCTGTGAGCCTCCACGGCCTGTTACAGGGATAGCTTTACTTTTATATTTCTGCCTTTCTTCTGTAGCGTTTAGACAGGCTTCTGGGCCCACTCAACCTCCTACAGAATGGGTACTGTGACCAATTTCCCTGGGGATAAAGCGGGCAGGGTGTGAAGCTGACCACTTAACTCCATCTAGTGCCGAAGGTTAAGAATGGTGGAGCAATACCTTCACTCCTTCCATACATCTTCATGGTGAACGTAACTAATTAATTAAGCACAAAGCCAGCTTTACTTTGCTTTTATTTTAGTAATCTCAATATCAGTGCTCAAATTGTTCCTTTCTATCGTTTTCACTTAACTTCACTGCATTACGTGCAGCTTCATCACATAAGCCAGTGATTCTCAACTTTGTCAAACCGCGGGCCGGTAAATTCTTTTTTTCGAAAAGACGAGGGCCCGGTGTAATTGCTGCCAGGGCCTGGTACCGGGTCGAAGGCCCGGAGGTTGAGAAACAATGGCATAGGCGGAAAATTGGCCGGAAGAACAACAACCGATAACATATCATGTAACCTGTAAGAGAAACGAAGGCCATCTGCTATGTTTCCCCCATCTAATCGACAAGTAAATTTAACTTTTTAAGTGGTCTTTGCCACGGTCTGTTGTTATGTACAACTACCGTATTTACGCATGTATAGGCCGCACATTTTTTGCCAAAAATTCAAGAGGAAAACTGGGGTGCGGCTTATATTCGAAATATTCGAAATCACACTTCATTTAAAAAAAAAATTTATTCATAATTGATAATTATATAATATTAATAATTTTTACTCCTGAAATAATATTCCAAGAAAATTATTTTTTCTATAATTTCTGTCTGAAAATTGTGCTGCGGCCTATACACGCACGCGGCCTATACATGAGTAAATACGGTAATTTTGACTTTAGTCCTAATTTCTGTAACTCTTCTTAAGTCCCTTTATGTGACTAGTACACTAAAAACCTATGCACAGGCAACAAGTATCAAGTAGTTGCTTTATTGTGTTGGGTGTGCCTTATGATGGTAACCAGTAATGGCCGAAACATGTAGGGACAATACTTTTACTTACTCCTGTTGAAATTGTAACACTTCACGTATTGCAGTAGCTTAATTTTATATTAAGAGGTATAAGAGTTACCAAGATATTAAGCTTGAGTCAGAGTCACTTTACGACTGGCGGATTTACCGCCAATCAGTTCGTCTTGGCAAGAAGCCCCTTGAGACTCACGACCAGTAAATTTTATTTTCCAACTAAACACTTGCAGTTATAGTCCTTATGTAACATCCTCTCCGATGAGAGGATGGGGCTCGCCAGCGCAGTCGTTCTCAGGTCAGAGTCCCGTGGGATTCATGACCACATTTCACTGTCTCAGATTCTAGGCTCTCCCCACCTGGAGGGCCAGGTCACCGTATTTATATCACCCAGTAACAGGGTGACCCAGTTATACCCCCAGGCACTGGGTTCACTTTTCTTCGCCTCTTATGACTCACAGGGCTACGGTTGAGGTACTGGAACCAGGCTCCACATGGGAAACTCATGCAAATAACATTAAAAAAATCAGTTCCTACCTCGCAGAAAACACCCTAAGTCTGTATTTCAAATGCCAGTCTATAAATGCTGTTTAGAGAAATTACAGACTGCAGTTTCTAAACGTTACGTCTGTGCTTAAAAATGTTTATATTCTTTGCCTAAATATCTACGGGGGCACGTCTTCCTTAGATGATTAGTGATTACGTAGAATTTTACTTCATGATTAGATGATGATTAGATAGTTCAGATTAGTATAGTATTATGTATGATTCACAAGGTTATGCTTAAGCCGAGATAGAGTAGTAGATAGAGCGACTAGCTACGGGTTGGACGACCGAGATTTCGGAGTTCGAGTCCAGGTAGGGTTAAGAATTTTCTCTTGTAGACCTCGTCCAAATCGGCTCTAGGGTCCAACCAATCTATTATCCAATGGGTACCAAGTTTTTCTCCCCTGGGGGTAAAGAGGCCGGGGCGTGAAACTTACTACTCACCTCCAGCTAGTGCCGAGGTTAAGAAAATGTGGATCTATACCTCCATCCCCCACACCCCTTCATAGAGTAGTGCTTAATTAGGTAAGCACAGGGACATCTTTACTTTTACCTTTATCTGGTTTATGTTTTCAACGCACGAGAAACGAATTCGTCGTACCGGAAATATGGTCGAACACACAGAGAACCTTTCTTCCGTAATGAAGATTGATATCTTCTGGGGTATAACGCCGTGTAGTCAGATGAAAGGGAGCCGGCGTTTCGGAAGAATATCGATTCTATCGTCAGGGTTGAGCATGGTATCTGCTTCTTGTTGCTTTTTTCTTAGCTTATTCCTCAACCCTGAAGATGGAGAAGACATGTTCTTCCGAAACGTCGGTTGGCTTCCAATGGACTACAGGGCATTATATCCCAGAAGAAATAACTCTTCAGAACCATCGCTATGACAACCTCAGGTCCCCGAGTCGTAGAAGGCGAGGAAAAATGAACCCAGTGCCTGGGGGTATAACCGGGCCACCCTGTTCCTAGGGGATATCAATACGGGGACCTGACCCTCCAAGTTGGGGGAGTCTCCAATCTGAGACAGTAAAAGATTGTCATGAGTCGCGCGGAACTCGGATCTGAGAATAACTGCGCTGGCGAAGACCATCAGTAATTATAAACGATAGACCATCGTCTCGTCAGAAAGGACTATAACCGCAAATGTTCAGTTGGGAAATAAAATTACTGGTCGTGAGTCTCAAGGAGCTTGGCGCCAAGACGAACTGTTTGGCGGTAAACCGCCAGTAATAAAGTAACTTTGACTCTGACTCAGATCCCTCATTCTCTTTCTGTGAAACTGCATGATCAAGCGTTGCGTAACCTCAGACATGTTTTCGTCCAATATTGGCGCAGTGAGTATATGCTCTGTGAAAGGAAGTTATGTTGCATTGTTGACAGGAATCTGCACAACCCAAGATGTGGACCTGCTTNCTGACTCTGACTCAAATCCCTCATTCTCTTTCTGTGAAACTGCATGATCAAGCGTTGCGTAACCTCAGACATGTTTTCGTCTGTGAAAGGAAGTTATGTTGCATTGTTGACAGGAATCTGCACAACGCAAGATGTGGACCTGCTTTTCCGACACATGAATAACGCCCGGTACATACGAGAATTGGACTTTGCCCGTTTCCATTTCTATGACCTGTCTGGTTTGTACCATCAGGTTCTCAAGATGAAGGGGAATGCCCTTCAGGGAGCCTCAGCCATTCGCTACCGTAGGACCATTCCTATTTTCAGCATATACAAGATTGATACTAAGGTAAGCCTCCAAACTGACTCAATGTAGCTGAACCCTTCTTGAGAAGCTGTCAGTTGCGTAGCCGCTCAAGAATTTCTCAACATTTTATGGACACTTAAAATTAATTACCGTGTTTACAAGAACCCTCCACTGGTCCCTATCCTGAGCCAGATCAATCAAGTCCGTATCGCCCCCACCCTATCTCTCTAAGATCTATTTTATTATTATCCACCCACTTACGTCTTGATCTTCCCATTGGTCTCTTTGCTTCTGTCTTTTCCACAATATCGTATATGCATTCCTCTTCTGATCTTTGTACTATATGCCCTGTCCATCTCATCCTCTTTGACTTGATCATTCTAATTATACTCTGGCCAGCAGTACAAGTTATGAAACTTCTCATTATGCAGTTTTCTTCAACCTCCTGTCACTTCATCCCTCTTCGGGCCAAATATTATCCTCAGCACCCTGTTCTCAAACACTCTCAGTCTATCTTCCTACCCTAATGTGAGAGACCAAGTTTCACACCCATACAAGACCACGGACAAAATTATAGTTTTATAAATTCAAGTTTTTACGTTTTAGGACAGCAGACGAGAAGACAAAAGGTTCTGGACTGAATGGTAGCAAGCATTACCCGAATTAAAACTTTTACAGTCCTACTGTTGTCATTTAGGTTGTGTTTCAGTTGTTTAATACGAGCGTGAAACTTGGTAGCGTGTCCTATTACGCCTCTTTAATTATTTGGGGTGGGTGTGAGACTGAGTCCACTTGGTACGTCTGCAACTAATTGGACTATTGCACTAGCCCCCGATGACAGCTGATTATGAACCGTTCGCTAGAATAAGAACTGGCAGGGGAAACCGGCTTCATTGTCACTTTGTCCACCACAAATCCCATATGATTTGGCGTAAGATCGAAACGCGACCGTGGCAGGTCGCGTGTACTGAAGGAGGAACACTCACTGAAGGGTTTTCAGATGGCGGAAATGGCTGCTTAGATCTGGATAGACGATATATATCAGCAGAGAAGCCCTGGAAACTACGACACGTGTTATAAATGAAATCATTCCAATGCAGATGTGGGAATTCGTTCCAACAGGTTCTGCTGTGACAATTGTGGCTATTTAAATCACAGACAGTGGGTGAAAGGTGTTTACCTACAATTCCTTGCCTTGAGAAGTTTTATAGTAAAGTTCGAAATGTGTCGTATTCGTACCTTACAGGAGGATGGATAAAATTACGTACTGCAGAGTTTCAGAATTTGTACTTTGCATAACATTTTGGGGCATATTTGTTCAATGCAAGAACTGTAAAGCCTAAAAAGACAACCGTTGTCAGGGAACGGCTCTACAAACGCGCCCGTTGATAGGCAACGTATTCGTAACACATAATGGGGTAACTTGGAAGCAGTGTTTTGTACGCCGTCCATGCGATTGCTATGTGACGCAAAAATATAAAAATTGTTGGTAGGGGTGTTTCCTATGCTGTCCTTGCTGAGGTTATATAACGAGGAGCAGCTGCATTTACGAGAGACACTTGAGACTGTAGTGAGAAGACTAGGAGGTTGGTGTGAGATGCCCGCCAGCCTGGGAGTTAGTCAGCTGGAGCAATGAGTTAGTTGTGAGACAGTTAGAACGTGAACACGAACGCTGAGGAAGTTACGGCGTTGGAAACCGTTAACAGGCGACAAATTCAATTATTTATATATATTTTTTTTATTGCTAGTGGTGTAGGACTAAGTCCCTTGTACTGCGGTCACTTCTGGCCTATTGTACCAGCCCCAGATGATAGGTGAGGGTAATTGTGGAGCAATTGGTGGAATGAAGATTGGCAGGGGAACCGAAGTACTCGGAGAAAACCTGCCACAGCGCCACTTTATGCACCACAAATCCCACTTGACCAGACCCGAGATCGAACAAGGGCCGCCGCGTTGGAAAGCCAGCGGCTAATCGCTTGAGCTATGGCGCGGCACTGTGAAGTACTGACTAGATAAGATTCCTGTAATTAGAGAAAATAAAACAAAGCCTTCCATATCTTTTGTTGGTAACGAATCTTACATAGATAAGATTCGTTACCAACAAAAGACATAGAAGGCTTTGTTTTATTTTCTCTAATTACAGTAATCTTATCATTGTATATAGTTACAACCTGTGAGTTTCAAGTAAATCTGCTCTCCAATCCAAACCTTCTCTACAGTCACTAAGACACATAGATAAGATTCGTTACGAACAAAAGACATAGAAGGCTTTGTTTTATTTTCTCTAATTACAGTAATCTTATCATTGTATATAGTTACAACCTGTGAGTTTCAAGTAAATCTGCTCTCCAATCCAAACCTTCTCTACAGTCACTAAGACACATAGATAAGATTCGTTACGAACAAAAGACATAGAAGGCTTTGTTTTATTTTCTCTAATTACAGTAATCTTATCATTGTATATAGTTACAACCTGTGAGTTTCAAGTAAATCTGCTCTCCAATCCAAACCTTCTCTACAGTCACTAAGACACATAGATAAGATTCGTTACGAACAAAAGACATAGAAGGCTTTGTTTTATTTTCTCTAATTACAGTAATCTTATCATTGTATATAGTTACAACCTGTGAGTTTCAAGTAAATCTGCTCTCCAATCCAAACCTTCTCTACAGTCACTAAGACACATAGATAAGATTCGTTACGAACAAAAGACATAGAAGGCTTTGTTTTATTTTCTCTAATTACAGTAATCTTATCATTGTATATAGTTACAACCTGTGAGTTTCAAGTAAATCTGCTCTCCAATCCAAACCTTCTCTACAGTCACTAAGACACATAGATAAGATTCGTTACCAACAAAAGACATAGAAGGCTTTGTTTTATTTTCTCTAATTACAGTAATCTTATCATTGTATATAGTTACAACCTGTGAGTTTCAAGTAAATCTGCTCTCCAATCCAAACCTTCTCTACAGTCACTAAGACACATAGATAAGATTCGTTACGAACAAAAGACATAGAAGGCTTTGTTTTATTTTCTCTAATTACAGTAATCTTATCATTGTATATAGTTACAACCTGTGAGTTTCAAGTAAATCTGGTCTCCAATCCAAACCTTCTGTACAGTCACTAAGACACATGACAATATACAATAGGGAGATAATAAAACATTACCTTGGCACGTTTCTTGGGAAGACAGGGAAAACTAAAAGACCAGTGTACTGACTGTGCTCTGTGAGCTTCTGGTTCGCTATGAATGCAAACCTGCCACACGGTAGTCATTATAAGCACATTCACTTCACTTGAACTTGAGGAGACCACAGCCAGAAGCGGCCAGAAGCATTTGTATGCATTGCGCAACGTTGTCAGTTCCCTCGTGCTTAGTTTCAGCAGAGTGCATTCACCTTCCTTTCTCGTCCGTCTCCTAGTTTTTACTTTGCCTCAGTGTATCTTCTGTTGTGAGAACCGGAATAGCTCAGTCGGTATAACGAATAGGCTACAGGCTGGACGACTTAGAAATGAGCCTTCGATTCCAGACAGGAGCAAGACAGTTTTTCCTACAGCGCCCAGACTGACTCTGAGGCCCACTCAGCCTCCTATACAATAGATACCGAGGTTGTTTCTCCGTGATTAAAGCGGCAGGAACCACTCACCTCCTGCGAGTGCCGAGGTCAAGAATATGTGGATGTATACATCCACTCCCCCGTACGTCTTCTTGATGTAGTGCTTAATTAAGCACAAGAACAACGTTTCATTTTAAAAGTGATCTCTTCCGGGATATAACCATGTGCATTCCAGTAGAAGCCCATCGACGTTTCGGAGGAATGTACTGCCTCCTTCTTCAAAGTCGAAGAATAAGCCAAGCAGCAAGAAGTAGCTTCATAATTTGTGTTCTTCACAAAATGTTGTTAGGATGCTCAAACTAAGGAAGATAAAGCCGGAGTATGTAACACACATGGGAGATGTTTTATTACTTCCGAACCTGAAGATGGAGGCAGTATATTCCTCCGAAACGTCGGAAGATTTCTACCAGACTATACAGTGATGTGTTCCAGAAGAGAGGACTCTGCTTAGTGACCGCTGTGAGAGCCAGAAATCCAACAAACTTTGACTCCACTTCTGTCTCATTTCGTTTCTGTTCTGAGAATCTGTTGATGTTATTTTCACCTACTTGGAGCAATCGGGTTGAGCTTTCTTTTTGCTATTCTACATACGTCCAGGCTATTTCTGGAGGCCACTGTCCGGTTTGTGCGCCACGTGACAGTTACTTGACATGAGCAGTAAATGTTTCTCAAATTGTGTCCGCAGACCAACTTCGCTCACCGTCATTGTGCGCGGGGAAGTGAAAACCGAAATGAATTCAAAAGCACTATCTTCTCGGATTTCATATCGTGCAGTATGGTAGGTCATCTACACGGCGTCACATCCATGATCACAAAGCAGGAGAATATAAAATAAATATCTACCACACTACACGGCGTCACACCACAGAATAAAGTAATCTCATGGGCCAGCGTTGGGAGAACCTCACATTTGACGGAAGTAATTAAAATTTTCGATTTAGATGGGACCGCCGTTGCCTGTGTTATAAGTGTGCAGATGTGCACTTCCGCCGAAGAGGGTGCATAAACAAGGCATCCTCACCCCCCCCCACCCGAACATAAAAGTAAAGTAAAAGTAAAGCTATCCCTGTACCAGGCCGTGAAGGCCCATAGGGTTATGAGACAATCGGCTCAAAGATGGCGGTAAGGTTGTCAGCCTTACGCGCCTGCCGCGCTTTACTCCCCAGGAAAATTATTTTGGAAACAAAAATAAAAATTAGAATAGAGAAAGTATACCGGAATTTAATATAAGAAATTAATTTTTATAGTGTTCCTGTATCTCACAGCCTGAAATTTAGCTTGTAACCACACGTTTTGGGTTCCCACCCTGCACTCCCCGAAATATTCGTGGCAGTGGCCAAGACGATAAGGGGTGTATTTCTGTGAATAAATAAATGATAAGCTTCTGCTAAACAGGGGGAGGGTGTATTTATATCCAGAAAGGATGAGTCTCATTTGCGGAAATAAAAATATTCTGCCCTACAATTTGAGCTGCAGTGTATCCATTGTGTTACAGTTGGTTTACTGGGATGACAAGTCCATCTACCTGGAGCAACAGTTTGTGACTCTACGTGACGGATTTGTACGGGCTGTGGTGCTCAGCAGACAGAATATTGTCGGGGTCAACGTCAACGATGTAATGGCCGAACTCGTGGGAAGTGACGTCAAGAAACCGGAAATCCCTGAAGAACTTGAGCACTGGCTGAAGGGGATTGAGGTATCGAGTGCCAAGCTCAGGAAGTCAGACTGACTGCTCTCCATCATGTTTCAGTGCAAGGTGTTGCAGCTGAACCTCACCCACAACTTCTATGAATTGCAGAATTTTATATGACAAAAAAAAAGTTTTAGCCTATGTTCCTTAATTGTTTTTATTTCGTATTTCCTCCCTTCTTTTCTTTTATTTTCCCTATAGTGACTATGCTGCTGACTGGACAACAGAAGAATCAGAGTTCGATTCTAGATAGGGACAAGAGATTTTCTATTTTTCATAGCTTCCAGACTGGCTCTGGAGCCCAACCAGTCTCTGATCCAATGGGTAACTTGGGCTTTTTCCCAGGGTTTAAAATGGTTGGGGCATCTATTTGACAACCGAGCTCCATCCAGTGATGATGCTGAAAATGCATTAAGTTATAACTCAACTCCCCATTTCACCAACATGCCGACCTGCTTAATTGTTCACAGGGACAACTTTAGCTTAATATGGGTGGATTATTGGTGTTCAGTCCCTGGCAGGATATGTCTCTAACATCAGATCATCATACCTGGGGCCCACCCATCCTACTATCAAATGAGGACTACGGGATCTTTCCCAGTAGTCACCTACTCTAGGTATTCGCAATCTTTTTTGGATCTTAAATATTGATTACAATTGACTTGAAATGATTCTGACGATGGTGTATACTGTACTTCTCTTGGCTTGTTTTGGACTTCATCCATCGTCTGGTATGTAAAAGACAAAAGACCACAACGTTTCAGAGACTGAATCTGTCTCCGTGTTTATCCTTCCGTACCCACCTGAACACGGAGACAGATCCAGTCTCCGAAACGTCGTGGTCTCTTGTCTTTTACATATCAGACGATGGATGAAGTCCAAAAGAAGTATTGATTACAGTGTTCGCAAGAACCTGCTATTGGACAATATCCTGATGCAACTTCACTTCTTATTTCTTTAAGATCAATTTTAACATTGGCTTACCACAAAAGCCTAAAACTCTGAAGGCGTCTCTTCCTTTCAGGTTCTCTTCTTCAGACTCCTCTGTCTCCTGTTCAGGAGGTACTAATTTCCAGTCTCTGCAGGGACGCAAGCTGTTTTGACTGAGAATCGTTGTGACTTTATTAAGTTCCTCCAGAAATGCAGGGATGGTACTTTGTTTAGGTCATGACTACTTCCTTCTAAGTCCTGCACATTTGCTCTCTCCTACCATTCGACATTTTACAGAGTATCATTGAAAGTCCAGGTGATCTTCAGGCACGAGTTTCACGTACAAGAACAAGAAAAAAAGTCCTTATCAACATGTGTTTGGAGAAATTTAATTTGTGAGTTATGGCTGAAAGAGTACATTTATAATATAGGCTCAAAATACCCTCCATGAAGTTCAATGCATGCATTAACATGTCTCATCATGGACCACTGCATCCATTAAAAAATGCTGGGGTAGTTGCAGATTGTCTGACAGGCATCCAAAATGTGATGGTGAAGTGCCCATTTTTTGTCAACAGAGTTGCATGCACAAGAGAGTTTATGTATCCCACAGAGGTAAAAATGAACAGGATTAATATCTAGCGAGAGTGGAAGCCATGCAGTCGGTCATCCTCTACCTACACACTGGTCATGATAAGACATCTTGGACAACATGGCTGAAATGAAGGATAATGGAATAGGACATGGTAGTATTCTTTCAGCTATAACTCACAAATTATGTGTTTCCCAGCACATGTTGATATGGACATTTTTTCTTTTTCTGGTATGTGAAACTCTTGCCCAAATTTTGTCTCTACCTTTCAGTTACACTCTATATAGTCTAGTTTCTTTGCTTTCTGAAATAACCCACCAAACATGTCTTGTCCATTTAGTTTTCCTTGATTTTTTATTGTAATAGTATTTGGCAAAGAGTTTAAATACTGACACTTCTGATTATTGTAATTTTCACGAGTTGGATTTGATTTTGTGTCTCTTGGGCCCAAATACATTCTTCATCCATTTGTTCTGTAATACTTCTTCCTTCAGATTGAGAAAACAAATATCACACCCATATATTTATTCGTTTATACAAATACTGAACATATATAACATTCTTTTTTTGGCAAACTGTGGTGAAGAATGTTAATATTTACAGTTTTTATTCATTCATAATTTTCTACTATTAATTTTAATGAATGAAAACATGAATATTTTGTCACTTATATACATTCACTTCTTTACAACTTTATTAACAATCACTCGTTTATATAAGAATAAAAATTAAAAATTAAGAATTAAAAACTAAACAATAGAAATTACTACATGTTTCAGCCATACTCTATCATCTTCAGGCCACTGTCCAAATTATCTAAATTGCTACATTGCATTTTAAATGTAATTAAGATGAATTATTTCCTAAGTTAAAATATTTCAATATTATCCATTTTTGTAATCCACTCATTAAAAACCTTTGTTGGAAAACATTGCTTGTTACATTTTCATGCACTGCTTAGTTGAGTGTCTGTCACTCATTATTATTTTAACTTACGAAATAATTCATTTTATTTACAGGAAAATTAGAGTGTAGCAATTTTGATAAATTTTACAGTTGCCTGAAAATGTCTGAGAATGGCCAAAACATGCAGAAATTCCTGATCGTTAAATTTATTTTTATGTGAAAGAGTAACTGCAAATAAAGTTGCATTTAAGATGGAAGTGAATGTGTATAAGTGACATATTAATGCAAAAGAATGTTGAAATAATATATTATGAAGCTAATGTGTGGTGTGGAATGTGTTAGTGCATCAAACATTGATGTGATTTTAATTTCCATCAAGCGCCAATATAAATATGGATAATTGTAAATCATTATCATCATTATCATTATGAATACCAAGGTAATTTCTAAGGTGGAGGAGCCAGAAGTTAGTTACAGACCTACTCATAAATTATTTAAGAATACTGCTTACTGATTATCCTTTGTATTCACAACAGAAGAGTAGATTTTTCAAAATGATTTTTATATTTTTCATACTAATATTTAGTGTACTTCTTTCTTTGTTTTTAACCTTGATTCTTTTTAAAAAAAATCGAGGGGGAGGACAGATGCTTTGTATTCACAATAGAATAGTAGATTTTTCAAAATGATTTTTATATTTTTCATTCTAATATTTAGTATTTAAGGTTTCCCCACATTTAACTTACAATTTATATGATCCTCAGTGAATAATCTCAATGCCAGATTATTTGCATTTAATGTTTCCCCAGTTTAATGCTCAGAAATACTGCCCTCAAAATACATTTCAAATAGAGTTTTCACTCTGCCTGTATTGCTGTAATAGATACATAGAATATTCTTTTGACTGTAGAAAAACAAGTAAAACCTTGATAAACTGGTATGGCCACATATTATGAAGGCGTTCTGGTAGTACTTTTTCAGGGTGTCAGGAACAAATATGGCAAATGAGTGAATATTGATACATAGAGGACAATCCAGAGAGAGCAAGTGATGGAAAATATACGAAACAGAACATGGAAATTGTGGGTGCAGGTAGAAGAAAAGAGTTTATCATAGGCTGAAAACTAATGAAGTTCCACCTCAGTGGAAAACACATTGGATGTTGTTGTTGTTGTTGATGATGATGTTGATTCTAATTTATATGTTATATTTTCTGAATGTTGTTTACAGATTTTGGGTTCTTTGATGTTGATGAGCACCACTGTCTCCTGCTTAAAACTGGTGTATGTGATGTGACATATAAAAAATATAAATTATTTTTTGTTTTAATTCTCTATAATACTTTTTGCAGTTTGATCTGTGTAATTTCCTTACACATTTTTCATTCTTTGTGATTCATTTATTTTGACACATAACACTTCATTAGTCACAAATTATTTTGCTTGAACTTAAACACATAAATGCCTCTTTCTATAGATACATATTTTCCTAATGACTATAATTCTCATGAGAACAAAGTAAATTTCATCTCTATAAAAATATTTTCCTTTCCTTTCTCTCACTTTATAGCTTTTGATAAAGCCATCAGCCAATATATGTGTCATGAAATAAAATAATTAGAATAAAAACCTCTCAAACCCAGCATGGCTCAATTACCACTTCCTATGATTCCGTTGACTAGTACAGGATATGTAGAAACAGAACTTTCCCTTCCTCTGCTGTATGTTTAATGTTTGTTATAAGCAGTTTCAAATGTTAAAATAAATAACCCCAAAATGGCCAATGTGCTGTAATATAGACATTTTAAATGCTTTGAACCTCATAGACTAATCTGTGCATAAATGACTGCAAAAAAGAAAGGATTTAGTCGACTCAAAAAAGTAAGGATTCTTCATTCAGGTGAAGTACTGAAAATATATACTTAATCTAATTCTGAAACATTGAAAGTTGAAATCATTCGTGCATTAGAGTAGGTCATCTCTACTAGAGAGCAAGAGAAGCAGGATATTTTTTCATTGGCATGCCCTGCGTGTCTTCAGGGACCACTCACTGAAGAGTACTGTTGTAATATCCTTTAAAGTGAAAAATGATTTGGGCTTGAAGAATGCCACTCACTTCATTCCAGTGCTGTTATCAAAGGCTAGAGTCAATTGGTATATTACACAACACTTTGAGTAATAAATCATATTCAAAACTTAGAACTATATCTCTTGCGTACCAAATGTAATTGTTATATTCGCAACCTCCATTCTTCTAATTATGTAGTGTAATTTTCAGTGTGTGTATGTGCACACACCTGTCAAACACTAAATAAACAGGATGCATTCCTTGAAGATTAGTGTAATTTTGTGCATACAACATGTAATTATTGTGTCATTGTACCCTCAATTCTCTGTTTAGAGAGAGAAGTAAACTACAAGATCCAGAAATGGGATGAGAATGGTAACACACTGAAGTATTATCTTGTTCGAAGGTGCAAATTCTGGATTACAGAATTTTTCATCTTTGTTCATCATCCATCATACCATTTTGGAAACTGATATTTTTCTATCTTCAGGTGAAAGAGTTGGATGCACCTCCTCTGTTTGGACACACAGAGAGATATAACCTCAGTCATTGGACAGCCTGTCACAACTACACATACCTGAGATCGGTAACTCTGTAATCTTGAGCGTTAGACCTCTTTAGAATCGACTTGTGAATTTCATATTTGTGGCCTCATATAGGATACATTTAGGATAAATCAGAAGACAAGAAGTAGGTTAACCCTCCTAAAGAACTGCGTAGACTAGCATGATAATTGTTAGTACGCATAGGCTTTTACAACAGTCTGCATTTAGGTTAGCTTTTTTAAGAAAGTAACATATTATTTTCATAACAAAGTACAACAATCTGGTTTTCATTCACTGACCATCTCTCCACCCAAACTGACATCCCAGATACAATTGCAACTCGCAGTCCGTTCTTCCTCACCACGTGTTTCATGTTTGAAGGATGAAAAGGAAAGACTTACTCATAGAGCTGAACCCTTCTGGAGGAGCCGCCAATTCTGCAGCTACGCAAGAATTTCCCAGCATTTTATAGAACCAAAAGGTTCATTACCGTGTTCACAAGGGCCCTTCAGTGTCCCTATCCTGAGCCAGATCTATCCAATCCATACCATTCCATCTCTCTTAAGATTCAGTCTAATATTGTCCACCCACCTACACCTTGGTCTTCCCTGTGGTCTCTTTCCTTCTGGCTTTCCCAGCAATATCCTATACGCATTCCTCGTCTCCCCCATTCGTGCTACATGACATGCCCACCTCATCTTCCTTGACTTGATCATTCTAATTATACTTGGGTAAGATTTCCTAAGCGTTTTATATATTACAAACAACGCAAGTTTCGACATTGATTTCGAGTTTTGTACATGTAGGTGATGTGATAAAAAAGCACGTAAGTATATGAATATCAACCCTTGCAATGAGATGTTTGGAAATGCTGTGTACCCCACTATTATTCAAGAAAGAAAAGGATGGTGGGGGAACGAGTAAAGACAGTACGCATCGATAACAATCGATAATCGTTAGTTGATCGAGTCATCGAATATTCGCCTGGAGTGCCAGGCAAAGTTCAATTTAATTTACCTTTCCGCCGATAGATGGCTGACGCTTAGTTATTACCATCCAAAAGTGTGAGGGGAATACGAAGGGGAACAGAGCGGTAAAACTGTTACAGGCTGAACAGTGCCTTTCGAAACTTTGGAGTTAATATTTCCTCGCATCTCTTCGTGAACGATCGTTCAGTTATCATCGTTTGCTGGATCTAAACAGCGGCAGTTTGAAGTTGCGTCTGACAGTTCTGAATGTTGTGAAGTTAGGTTAGGCCATAAGTAGTTCTCACATTTAATGTTTATGTTTTACAAATCTCAGTGGTCAGAGTGAGAGCGAAGATATCGGGATCAGTGTAAAGGAATGACCACGAATCACCAGTACAAGGTCGGTCAAATACACGGGAGTGTGAGAAGGAAGTAAAGCCGCCTATAATCGGAAAGAGAGAAGGATTCGACATCTGCTGCGTCCACTTGAACAGGTAACGGAAATCAGCATCTGCTGGTAATTAGTGCTTTAGCAGTGCAGTAGACATTAAGACACATGAAACAATAATTATGTAATATCTGACGTTCTTATGGGGGTAACTATGAAGAATACTGTTGTATGGGATATGACACTATATAGCCTGTTTGATGTTTACTAACGATACTGAAGAGACTGCTGCTTCCATCTTCAGGGTAGAAGAGTGAACCGTACGGGAGAAAGGTACCACTATTCCCATTTGTTCGCTCTTAACCACGGATTTTATCCTCTTTTCCTCACATCACTGACGGTTTTATCTCTCTCTGCTTGCTCTTCTAACCTGAAGATGGAAGTAGCAAAACACAAGCAAGTCTGAGTCTGTTTCATAGTCTGGATGTGCCGAGTTCGAATTTTAGCTTTATGACTGTGGATTTTCGTGGTTTACTCAGCTGTTAGTGCAATAAAATAGGCCACGACAGCTTTATCGAAGGTCCATAACCTCCTCCAGGAACAATAGCGTTAAATAATCTAACAGGCATATCAGTGTGTGTGTGATATAAGCATGCTTACTTAACAGTGAATTTTAGCTGTAATTATCTAGACCTGTATATAGATGGTATTTTGTTCTAATCTCTGACGAATCACGGATTATCTTGACCTGAGTTCCTGGTTTTCCTCAGTCTCTCCAGGCGAATGTTATGATAGTAAGTAACTTCAAACAAGGCACGATGTGTCCTTCCGAACTCTTACCTACCGTCAACTGGGGTAACTTTTTGTCGGCATGGTTGAGTTTGTGTCCAGTCGCCTTTATCAAAACGCGACGTTATTTTATCGCCCATACTATTTACTAGAACACAAACAAGTTTTAGCAAACTTTTGAAACTTGTTTGTGTTCTAATTAGCAGTACAACTGATAAAATGACGTCACGTGATGATAAAAGTGACGCCGCAGAGAGCCACCCATGTCACACGAAGTGGCCCCCAGTTGACGGTACTCAGCATTCACGGTTCAATTTCCAATCCATCTGAGGACATAACAGCGTCGACAGTTAAAGCATTATCGTTATATGCATTAAACTTTTAAAGCACAATGGTTACTCTACGTATCATATGCTTTAACACTAAAAATATCTGCATATTTCTCACACAGGGTATTTAAGGGTTTCGTATGATAAAAGGCAAAACCATCCCTGGACTTAATGAATTAAGCCCCATGTCATGGAGGCGTATGGGGAAGTGGATGTATAGCTACACCTTTCTTTACCTCGGCTCTAGATCGGGGTGAGTGGTCAGTTTGAAGCCCCCTGCCACTTAACTTTGGGGAAACATACACCTATGCCCTTTCGTAAGAGACTGGGTGTGAGCATGAGTGCCTGTCTGGACGTTATGGAGAAGGAAAAATCTACTTCCCTTACTGAAAACAGAGCTCCGTCACCGACTCAGCGGGCGTCTAACCCTTAGTCAATTTTCTGTACCGTCAGTATAATCAGCAGTTATTTCCAATACAGTAATGGAGACTAGGAACTAAGCTTTTTTTATACTAGATGTACCTTTCGCTTCAGAGGACTAAGAAAGAAAAATGAGTAGGAAATGGCCGTGAAAAACTCGTAAGCGAAGTGAGGGCCGACAGACAGGAGATACTGCAAGGAACCTACGCCAAATGACCACGAAATGCCATTTTATGTGGAACTTCACACAATATGAGAGCCGGGATAGTGCAGTCGGTGTAGCGAGTGGTCAGCTTCACCCACTGGCCGCTTAACCCCCAGGGAAAGAGCTCCCGGTACTCATTAGATAGGAACCGGTCTGGACGACGTGAAGAAGAGAATAGTCTCTTGCCCCTGCCGGGAATCGAACCCTATCGCTATAGCGACTCATATTTGGGGCTCTCGTCAAGACCGTGATGGCGGAAGGGAAGATGCTTGCTCTGTGTCGCCGGGAAATAACTTCGCGCATGGAACAGAGGCTTCTTGCTTCTTCAGTGGAAATCTCCGTCCCACAGTAATAAATTCAACCCCTCGCGTGACGGAGATAACAAAGAGTGTATAGTTGCAATGTTATCTGTTAGTGACATTTTTGTAGATACCGTGAGCCAGGCTTCATCTCGTGGTCCGGCTGTAGTTACAGGCACTCGTACCACTCATGGCACGTCAAGTACACGTATTTCCTAAAGGTAGACCGTTATTTTCCAAACAAGAAGGAAAGAGGATCCCTGGACTTAGGTAGGGGATAATATTAAAATGTATCTCAGAAAATTAGGATAGGGTAGTAAGACTGGATATTCATTTGGCCCGGGTAGGGACAATTGCAGGACTCTTATGAACACGGTAATGAACATTTGGCTTCCAGGAAATGTTGGGAAATTCTTGAGTAACTGGCGGCTTGTGACGAAGGACTCAGCTCTCTGGAGTTAGGCAGTTCTATTCACAGCAAAGGCCTTGCACCTCTCTAATCTCCAAAGCAGGGAGCACAGAGTCAGGTTGTGGCTTCCGGACTGTGACACCGTGTAGTATAACGAAGTTTAGGAGGAACCTGCTGCCTCCATCTTCAGGGGTCGTATGGTTAGTGTGAGTGTGCAGTTAGGCTGTTGGAGCAGGTCACGAGAATCAGTAAATCACTCAATGTGGATATGTTACTGTGAAATTAATAATTGATAATTATAAGCAGAGTAAAAAAAAATGTAAAGCTATCCCTGTAAGAGGCCGTGAAGGCCCATAGGGTTGTGAGACGTTGAGGGCCCCACATTATCTAGACAATCGGCTCAAAGATGACGGTAAGGTTGTCAGCCTTACGCACCGGCCGCGCTTTACTCCCCAGGAAAATTATTTAATTAATTCCTGGTACTCATTTCTGTTAGAGGCTGAGTCGACCCCAGGGCCATAGTGCGGCTGGAAGGATCAGGTCAATTGACAAAGATCCAATGACCTCATCGGGACTTGAACCCGCGACCTTTTGGCTTGTAGCATAGTGCAACCAACTACGCCACCGCAATAAAGGTAAAGTTGTCCCTGTGCTCAACGGATTTAAGCACTGCGCCATGAAGGTGTATGGGGGAGTGGATGTTTATATCCACATTTTCTTGACCTCGGCACTAGTTGGAGGTGAGTGGTCAGCTTCACGCCCCGACCGCGTTACTCCCGGGGATAGAGCCCCCGATACCCATTGGATAGGAGGTTGGGTGGATTCCAGAGCTGGTCTGGACGATTCGGAGAAGAGAAAATTCTTGACCCTACCGGGACTCGAACTCCGACCCCTCAGTCGTCCGGCCCGTAGCCATTCGCTATACCGACTACGCTACCCCGGCGTATGGTAATTATACTGTAACGCGGATGGCCGGAGCGTTGCTAGGTAGCGGACCGATAGGCACCCCGCGATGAACGCTCGCAACAATGGAACAACGAGGTTATTCAAGCTGCTTCTAGGCAACGGCTCGGTAAACAAATTTCCGAGCAGGAACAATGGCGTCACGCTGCAACAGTACTAGCCATCACGGGTACTTGTTTTCTGTGTTGTCCGTGCGGCGCCTATATAACGCTGCTACGAGACTTCTGTACTTAAAACGGAGTGTTTAAACTGCCTATGAGTATGTGTATTATAGCTATATTCTTGGAACAAAGTTGCATCATCGTTAAGTCAGCGACGCAGATCGCTACGTCATCATTGGAAAGTTACTAGATTCTTTTTTCGACACACTTCCGGTATTCATACGCAGGTGGGAAATTCAAGCATACACAGAACTTTTCTTCCGTAAGGTTCCATACACATGGTGTGGCGTACTCTGGTCCGCATAGTGACTTATGTACTACCTGCCTGAACGTTAAACAATCAGTTATTCTTAATGTATGTAATGTAATGTATGTTTCCTGTGAGGTACGAACGGAGTTCTTAAATATGAGCTAAGTGTATCAAAATTACTTTCAGTCATACACAGTACAACCACATGTTCACCTTTCCTCTGCTCAGTTCAAAGTCCACATCTTCATCCTTTCCATTTTCATTTTCTAAAGCTGTACGCTACATCAAACGTCCTTCTACCAGAAAAGCAAATGGGCACTGCCTGGGAACCTTCCAAATTTTCTCTCTCACTACTCACTAGGCTGAGTGAACCCCAGGGCCATAGTGCGGCTGGAAGGATTAGGTCAATTGAAGAAATCCAATTACCTCATCGGGACTTGAACCCGCGACCCTCCGGCTTGTAGCATAGCGTACCCCAAGCATAGATACAACGTTACCTTTTTACGCATAGGTCACCAAAGCGGTCCTCTCCTTCAGGGTAACTACCAGAACCGTGTATGAATGTCTCATCTCTCCTGCGCCTGGTGATGGAATTTCCAAATAAATACCTTTAGGATAGTTTTCGTGTGTCCACGAAGACTTGTGAGACTGAAGTTTTGTGTGGGCTGCAACACACAGGTATATCCATGCATGGCACTGGAAGGGGCACTTCGCAAGGAAACAGCGGACAGAAAAAGAAGAAATCTTATATATCAGCGCTCTGGTCAGTGATTTAATTTGCAGGGGGGGGGCAGTGTTGGAGGTGCAACTTTTTGTCATGGTTATAGACTGTTGTATGCTAAGCCGCACCTTCACTTCTAGACTGTCCCTGCAAATGAAGTCATGAAACGTAATTGAAAGACGTAAAGATGTATTTCCCTTGCGACGAGCTGATCACCCGCCCAAGGGGAAAGAAAAGATGTATTTCTCTCTTTCTTCAGTCTGTCCAATCAAATGCTGGAAGAGTACATCAAAGTAAGATACTACCGCCTCCTTCCACATCCCATCCAATTCATTATTCACTGCACATCCTTCCATTCGACGCTGTACAGTCTGAGTGTCTACTGACATCGGTAAAGTAAACCATGGGGTATAACTCCGTGTATTTCAGAGTTTCGGGGGAACATATCGTCTCCATCTTCAGAGTCGAGGAGTAAGAAGTAGGAATCCAGCAGAAGTTGGCGGCAATTCTATTGGATTACTCTTCAGTCCTGAAGATGGAGGCGATATTCTCTTCCGAAA